GTTGTTTTCTTGCAAACATTTCGTTACCCAGCTAGGTAGCATCTTCGGTGCACAGTGCACTTCAGCACCGAAGATGCTACCTAGCTGGGTAACGAAACGTTTGCAAGAAAACAACCAAGCTCAGAGAATTCCACAGTTCAACCCTGAGCTACACATATTCACTTCTATTGATTCCACACATGTTGGGGAATCCGGGACTGTGGTGGGTGAATGCTACTGTGAAGAATATGGCTCTATGCCCCCCATGTTGACAGGACCTGGATTTTCGCTCCTCCCCCATTTTATTTATTTATTTATTTATTTATTTATTTATTTATTGGAGGAGGTTGAAGGGCATTTGTTTGTTTCTAAACTTGTTCTACTGCCAGTTATCAAATTCTTTTTCAAACTGAGTTCAGCATATTTAAGGCTTATACTACACTTTGACTTCTCTGCGTAAAAATGATGGGAAACTGATTTTTGGCAATTGCAGTTAGAGGGGGCTCTGGAAGCTTTCAAAAATTACCTTTGGGAGTTGGATGCAGTTTGGGGGCTGTAATTTCTCTACCTTACCATTAACTATCATCTGAATGTTCACAAGCTGCCCTGATCTCCACAGATGAATATGTAGCTAATCCCATGAAAGGAAACCAGAGTGGTCTTGCAGTAGGGACAAGCAAATCTCCTGCAAGAACATGAATGGTAACTACTGTGAAAGCACAGAGTCTAGGATCAGATTTATGAATATCTAATTCTAGATCTCATTGTGCTATCAGGTGTCAATTTCATGGAGCACAACCTGACAAAAACAGTTAAAGGTTTTCTGACGGATGTCCATCCTTGCCTGTTGAAGGGAAGAAAAAAAGGTTTTGTGAGGTTTCTGCAATCTTAAACATAATCAGAAGTGATCTCAGGGGAACTCAAGGGTTATATATTACAGAAGCAGGCTATTTGCTCCATTAATTTTAGTAAGAAGGCTAAATTCCTTGCTGAAGCCTAAATAAGAATTAGCTGAACTTAAAATGGAATTCATGGTTTTTGTGACTTACTTTCTGGGTACATGTGCGTGTTTAAATATAAACTAAGAAATAGCCACTTCATAACAGCTGTTCTTATGCCAAATATGGTAATCTTGACAATGCACAGCCCAGGGTGTGCTATGCCATAATTTTACTAGTGAGAGCAGTAGTGCCACTGGCATCTGGCTGCTTCCCTGGCATCCTGTCCACCATTCCCAGGCCTTGAAATGTCTTGCAGTTACAGATATTTGGCTTGAATGTTACGGCTTAAGAACTCCTTCTGTAATGCATTGTTCCTTCCCACCATGCACAGATATTTTCCATGGCATCCTAGCGCTGCCAAAGCATAAGAGATGATGTTACAATTGTAGGAAGAAGGGAGGGTGATAGTCTTTGAAGTGGCTTTTGATGAGATTCCACTTGATGAGATTGTGCATGACGCTAACCACAAAGGGAAACTCAACTATTCATTGAACAGAGAGTGATTTTAAGTCAGAAGCAGCAGCAGGAACAGAAGGGTGTCATTAAAAACTTGAAGTGCTGGTCCAAGTGCAAACAGGATAAAGGCTTTTGCTCTGTGTTTCAAGTTGCTTAGAATTATTCATGGACAATATCAATTCAACTTCCCTGAGCACACACACACACACCCCCGCCCCACTTGAAAGCAAAGGTATCATTATCATTTTTATTTTAAAAATTAACTTATTTAACTATTGATTACACCATGGAATGACAAGACAGATTCTTTAAACAGTGATACATTTGCCATTTCCAATGGGGTTGTGTGCTAGCCCCAGACCAGTTCAATCTGTTCTTTGCTTGCATGTTGTCATGTGCTCTTCAGGGTCTGAAGGAGGGAGTGTACATGATACCGATTGAATGGCTCTCTCTTTGACCTTCACCGCTTGAATGCATGGATGAAGTGCCTCCATACAGTCATCCAAGAAACCCTCTTTGCTGATGACTATGTGCTTCTTGCACACAAAGAGAGTGATCTACAGTTGATGCTGAACAAATTCTCAGAAGTTGCTATGCTCTTTGGCCTGACTATCAACCTGAACAAGACTGAAGTACTTTACCAGTTCGTGCCAAATACCAACCCCATAGAACCAAAAATCACTGTTGACGACACCCAGCTGACAAGTGTAAACACCTTTAAATACTTGGGAAGCATCATCTTGAGTGATGGGTCTTTAGACAAAGAAATTGACTCCAGGATCACCAAAGCCAGCCAGGCCCTAGGGCAGCTGCATACTAGAGTGCTCAATCAACACCACATCCGTATCTCCACAAAGCTGAAAG